CAATCTCCACCTTCACTTCCTCTTTCTTGAGCCCTGGAAGATCAGCCTTGAACTCGTGAGCTTTTGGGGTTTCCTTCTAGTCCACACGGGTGTTAACAAAAGCTGAAGTTTCTTGAGGGAGTTGAAAGGAGAGTGACGATACAGATGATGGGAAAGGAAAGTCCTTGAATGAGTTACAAACGGTGCGGAAAGAGAGTATATCTATGCGTGTGGCAAGGCGTTTAGCGATGGCGTTGAGAAGAAGTGCGGAGAGAGTGGACTAGTCTGGTTGAGTGGTATCCATGGGAGAAAAAGGAGAAAATGGGCGTTTGTGGCAGTTGCATAGTAGATTTGAGTTTAGAAATTTGTGATGTTTTTTTTCTTATCAAAATCAATTTGTGATGTTGTTGCATTATTGTCAAATTTGTGATGTTGTTGCATTATTGTGTTCCGCAAATTGAGGTTTTGTAAATACATTAGGCTGTAAATGTAGTGGAGATTATGAGTCGTAAAGTTTCGAATGAAGAACTAGAACAAATGAGAATATGGATGCCTTTATCATGTAAGTGGCTTTTTTGTCATCAACTTCATTCGTAGCTTCTAATGTTGGAAGAACATTTAAATCAATTTTCCCAAGTACACCTCTACTTTTACATTGTTCGTCCATGGTGACTGACCGAACAGAATCAAAGAGAACAGAAACGAGTGAGGGACGAAAAAATTAAAGAACTGGAGCAGCGTAAAAAAAAAAAAAAACAGATGAAGTTGGTGGGAGAAACAAATACAATAAGACAAAATTGTTAAAAATGTTATTTAAATAAGCGGGAAAGTTTCCCACTTTCAAAGTCTCTCACCTGTAAAATCAGGAAAAAAAGTTGGTGGGAGAGAGAATTTTTTTTTATTAAAACCTGTGCCCACACCTAAAACGTCAATTAAAAAAAAACGAAGGGAGTAATTTTTTAAAAATAAATAAATGAAAATTAAAAAGATTGTTAGCATGTGTTGCCAAACTGGTGGTGGTGCGTAGACCTGGCAAAACGGGCGGGTGGGCCGGGTACGGGTCGGGTCTCGCGGGTACGGGTCTCACAGGTACGGGCTCAAAACGGGTCGATTTAAACGGGCCTAATATTTTGGACCCACACCCTACCCTATACGGGTATGGGTGGACCTGCGGGTGCCCGTACTGTTCACACCAGTTTTTGATTTTTGCAATTACACCCCCAAATCTTCCTAAAATCTTCATTTTTGAGCAAAATTTGTGACCAACCAAACAGAAAAAAGAAACCCACGTTTTCTCCCAAGTTTTCTCACTAGCCAAACAGAAACCCAGAACCTAACAAAGAAAAAGATTAAAAAACTTTATTGATTTCCTTTCATTCCTCATCAACCAAATAAACCCACATAAAAAAATTTGAAAAAAGAAAAAATTTACAGAAGAGAAGCAACAGTTTGAGAATGAATTGACTCTGCAAACAAGCAAAATTGAACAAATCTGAGTATCCTCTTTTACTGTTTAGTTTTTGAAACTTCTACCGCAGATTCTCCACTCTTTAGTCTTCATCCCAACCAAAACCTAACTTTGACTTTAATCACCTCCACTTCCACTCCCTATGTCCCACATACCACCTGCTGCCCCTGCCTCATCACTGATCACTGCCCCTGCCTCATCACTAATCACTACCACGAATATCAACTTCTAAGTTCCGCCTCTCTCTTCAAAAATATAATACAAGAGACTTACAAAAATACACCTCAGATTATACACAACTATCGAAGATGTCTGAAGGTAAAAGAATGGAGCCAGAGAAGAGGAAACTGGGGCAAAACGACGACTGCGAATCTGGGTCACAAAAAAAGGCGTGAGAAGTTAACAGAGAAGGGACGACTGTGACAGAGGAGAAGCGAAATGAAGACAGCAGAAATGGCGACGATGAGTTTGAGAGGAGAAGCGGCGACGATGAGTTTGAGAGAGTTAGGGATTTTGTGATTTGGGGCAAAAACATGGCCAAACCCCAATTTTGAATTTAGGGTATCCCTGTAAAATGAAAAGGGTAAAAACAAATGGGTGCCCGCGGGCACCCGTGGGTGTACCCGTTTAACCCATTAGAAAACGGGTTGGGCCGAGTATAGGTAGAAGAAAAACAGGTCTAATATTAAAGACTCACACCCTATATTTTTTACCTGGGTTTAGGGTCAATCTGCGGATCCAGATCTATTTTGCTAGGTCTAGTGGTGCGTCTGGTGATACCACCAGGATCATAATGATTGGCTTGAGATGATCTATCTTCTTCTCTTGTGAAAGATCTGGAATTTGTCATGACGTTTGGCCGTAAGAGATGAAAACAAATTTGGTCATCTAATGTGGCGAAACGTCGTGCCGAACAACATTAGATATAAGACAGATTGGCTTGCATCGATCACTCTAACCCGTTGGTGGTCATCCGACAACTAATCAACAATTGTCCAATGACGTTTTAGCTAGTCTAGTGTGATATTTTATAGACTAAACTGACGTGACAGCTAACGTGATAAATCACATCACCATTTTAAAAATATTTAATATTTAATTAATTAAAATATTTTAATTAATCCATATAAAAAAATAAAAAATCTCCAATACCGTTTCTATTATTCAAACCCTAACCTTCCATGGTTATTTCTCATCCGTCATCTTCTTCCTCTCTTCTCTTCTCTTCTCCTCCTCTTCCTTTCTTATCTATTTTCTTCTCTCTCCTCTTCCTCCTTTCTTCTCCATCTCTACCTTATTTCTCATTCTCTTTCTCCATCTTCCTCTAATTGCACTTGGGCAGTGGCTGAATCTTGCCACCACTGCCCAGATCCGATGTTTGGCCACCATGGCCGATCTGGTGGTTGGCTCAAATTTTTTATTTCTTCAGTTTATTATTAATTTTTCTTAAAAATTAGATTTGGTTAATTTGGAGACTGAAGGGTTGTAAGGGCATCTCCAACCCACGCCAAATTGGCACAAAAAACACCAATTTGGCGTGGGTTGGTACTCCAACCCACGCCAAACACTGCGCCATTTTGGCGTAGTGCTACAGTGTCGCGCCAAGTTTGGCGCGGCACAGCAAAATGGCGCAGCACTGTAACACAATAAAAAAATATATATTTTTTTTAATTTTGGTTTTTTTTGTTTTTTTTAATTTTGTTAAGTTAATTTGAATATTAAATTTTACACCAAAAATCACACCAAATTTAAGTATTTGTATTTAATTTAATTTGATTATTATTTATAATAATAAATTTATAATAATGATATAATTTAAAAAATAATGAAAAATTAAAAATAGAACTTTATTCAATGCAAATATTAAACTATAATAACTCAAAATAAAAATTAACACTAATTTAAAAATACTAAAATTAAAAGAAAATACAACATAAACTAAAATAACAATTTAATATTTCGGTATATTAGTTCTGGATCCAGTAAGATTATCAAAATATTGAAAAGAACTAGAGTTATTTTAAGATCCTTGACCTTGTTGTTGAGCTCTTTTTTGCATAATTCTTAATTACTTATTTTGAAAAAACTCACGTAGGCTTGGATCGGTTATAGAATTCAAATCCTTTGCCTCATTTTTTTTTTTTTGTATTATTTTATTAGATGTAATGTTTTCTATAATGTTTTTCTATATTAATATAATGTTTATTTGATTAAATAAATACTTAATTTTATAATTAGTATAATTTAAAATAATTATTATTAATAAAAATATCATTCTCAATATTTAATTAATATATACAAAATAATGAGTGAAATGATTAATTGTTGATTATTACAATAAAAGAAAAATAAGAATATTTAAAAGAATATTCTAAAGAATATTCTTTTTGGTGTAATATTTGGTGTTGTGGGTTGGAGATGGATAGTATTTTGCACTAAAATTTGCACCAATTTGGTGCAAAATTGCACCAAATTGGTGCAATGGGTTGGAGATGGTCTAATTAATTATGTTTTGCAATGTATTTTTGATTGAGAGTAAGAAAAAAAAAAAAAAAAAACAGAAAAAAAAACTAAGATGTCAGAAGAGAGGAAGACAAGGGATTGGTGGTTGGCCGCACCTTGGCACCGGGTGGCCTGGTGGCTGGCGAAATCGTGGCCACATGTGGTGGCAGTGCCGCGGAGGCACGGGATTGGTGGTTGGCCGCACCTCGGCAGTGCCTCGTGAATAGTGGCGGCGCGGTTGCGAGTGGTGGTGGAAGAGGATAGACAGCGGTGGTGCGGTTGAGATTGGGAAACAAATAAGAAAGGAAGAGGAGGAGAATAGAAGAGAAGGGAAGGATGAGAACAGATTTTTAATTTAGTATAATCAAATTTAGGTTAATTGAAATATTTTAATTAATAAATATTTAAAAAAGTGGTGAAGTGGCAGTTTAAGACGTTTTGTAAGTTGTCTATTTTATAAGCAGCTTGAAAATTAATCAATTTCAAAAGTGGTTTATGAAACACTTTTGTTGCTGATGCTTAAGTTATGGCAATCCTAAGCGCACTGTTATGCAATTTGTATTCTATTTTCTCGTATATTTTTTATTCTCACTTCAATATTTTTTAGAAGGCCAAAATTTGCTGATTTCATCTTTTCTATTTTCTCAAGTTTCATCTCCTTCCTAGTACATAACAGTAAAAGATGTAGCACGAGTATGTGTTAATTCGAGCACTATCTGCGGCTAATCGTTTAACCTCACAAATTCTCTTTACTGCTTAACGTGTAAATATATTTACTTTTCAGATAACGGGAATATATGGATACTTGAGGGTAATTCCCACTTTCCCCAATCCAAAACGACAAAGCCAGGTTAAATTTTTATTTACCACCTTTATTTTCATGTTCATAACAAGTATTTTAAGTACACAAGGAGAACCACTACATAAATATTTAAACATCGATAAACTAAACCCAAATTGGCATAGTCATCAATGCATGTTCTCAAGGATTATATATATATATATATATAGGTGGTAATCACAGGGACTGCGCCATCCCTGGATGCCTCTTCTAATGTGGATGATTTCCCCCACCGATACCCTGACCATGTCCATGACCCTGATCACGTCCTCCGCCGTGACCATGTTTATTATCACCATGACCATGGTCCCCTTGGTTCCCTCCACCCTGACCGCGCTGGCCTCCAGGAGGTCCCCCTACATGCCCGCCACCAAGGCCATGCTGGCCTCCAGGAGGTCCCCCTGCATGCCCTTCGCCATGACCTTGCTGGCCTCCAGGAGGTCCCCCTGCATGCCCTTCGCCATGACCTTGCTGGCCTCCAGGAGGTCCCCCTGCATGCCCTCCGCCATGACCGTGCTCATCCCCGTGGCCCTGGTTATGCCCTCCAGGCCCTTGGTTCTGAGGTCCTTGGTGAGACATTTTTCCTTGCTAGTGTTTTTCTTTTTTAAAATATTGGTTGGAAGGAAGAAGATGAATATAATGTTATGTTAATCAAAGGCGTTTATATAGATGAGCAGACAGTCGGCCATATAAGCCACGTTACCTAGAGTCGGAATGTTAGGTTTAAGATATTTAAAGCATGTTGCCGTGTAACAGCACATGGCTCTTTACTTTTCTCTCTCAGGATACCATCAAAGTTTCTGGATAATGATTCAATTACTGGATAAGGTTTGAAAATCAGTTTCAGTTCACCATGAAATATTATTTCATTTTTATATTTACTCTCAAATCGTATGGGTTGATGTATGGCGCCTGGTATGTTTGATATATACAGTTTTTTGTTTTTGGAAATAAAGAATATAAATCTCATGAAAATGCATTGTATAAAATGAGTTGAAATGTTTACAAAAACAGTTTTTGGATGTAATCTGTGAATCAAAAAATGATTATAACCGTTTTCATAATTTTTAATTTGAAACCATTTTTAAATACCATATTTTCGAATATTTAAAATATAACAATATACATAGAATTACCTCTTACCCAAAAAAAAAAATATATATATATAACAATACAATACAATACAATTCAGTAAATTAAATTATACTAATTTTTGGACCACAAATCAAACAAGCCCTATACATAATTCAAATAAAGAGTAATATTATCCCATTAACATTTGCTCGTGATATAATCTTTGGATATTTCTATCATTGTTATAAAGCAATAAACCATGGACGAATCTAACGTTTTACGGTTGTAAACATTGCTCGTGAAATGTGCCCTTCAAATAATAGTTTATTGTGCCATCCATTCATATTATTATAATTTACTATTTAAAAGAAAGTTTTTCAAGTCTAATATAAATCAATGAACAGTTATATCAAATTTCTTTTGCCCCTTTTACGGAACAAGTAAAGGATTACCACATGTTTTCTGATTTCTATCTCTTTTGTAGGTAAAGTAAACACCATGGGGCCGATTTCTTTTTCGATGTTTGCTAGTTACATAAACTATTTCAAGTAGTGTCGGCAAGATTTGTATAATTTTCCGTTCACACCTAATTAATCCTAAAATAATGTATTACAATTCTTATAATAATAATAATGATGTACTATCCAAATTTCCTTAAGGGAAAAATGATACAATCCTAATTGATATGTTAAATTTTAAACTATTGTTACTAAATTCTCAAAGTTAAAAAATAATGTTCTAAATAATAATAATATTAACAAGGAAGGACAATTCAATAAAAACTACTATGATAATATTTTATTCATTCCAACCAATCATATTAATTATTCATACTCACCAATCTAACCAAACATATATATTAAGATAACATTTACCTAATAATCTTCAAGATAATCTAATTCAGTGATAATTCTATCTTTTTAGTAATTAAAAATTCTCGGAACTAAACGCTACGAAAGTAGTTACGAATATAGATTTTGCTTGTTTTTCAGTTATATTTCACATAATAATTTTGTTGTTATTGTTATTTTTAAACCATAAATTCTTGATTTTTATATATTCCTAAGATCTAAGAACTAGGGTTTATATAGTTAGAGGTATTTTATATGAATATCTAGGGTTTGTGTTCTTAGAAATATACATTGATGATTTTTATCAATTTTGTTGTGATATAAAATTTTAATATTATTAAGCTTGATTTTTTTTTTTCCATAAAATAGAAAAAATGTATGCCAGATTTGGGTTTTTGTATGTGCTGTTCATACTATGTAGTTGCTGATGGGTGCATGATAATGATGTGAAAGAACATTTTCAAGCATGTTTGTGATGCTTCATTTTAATTTCAGTTTTCAGTTTCTTATGTGTTGTTCAGTTATGTGATAGCTGATGGGTTCATGAAAATGATGTAATAGATTAAATAAATTCTCCATATGTATGTTGTTGATGGTTTTTAATTTATGCTCTACACGTTTGACTAGGTTTAATGCATGTCAAATCCCTATTTGTATTAAGTTTAGGTTCTAATTATTTTATTTAAAGTGGATCGGTTCAATGATTAAAAAATTCAGTTTGTGGATTGATTTAATTGTGTTTTTTTTTTTTTTTTTTTTTTATATGGATGTATAGATATTTGGTGATATTAATTCTACCGAACTTTGAATGCAATTTTTTATATATAGGATTAGTAATTGTGTCTTTTTAAATTGTACCTTTAGATAATTCAAGTTTTATTTATTTTGATTAAAGTGCATAGGTTCAATGATGACAAAATTGATTTAACTGTGTTTTTAAATGGTTATATAGATTATTTGTGATACAAATTTCAGTTATGTTTATTGTAATTAAGTTTTAATGTAACTTTTATATAAACAATAAGCTAATGTTTTATACTGAGTACTTTTTTAATTGATGGTGGAATTCTTTGGCCAGCAAAAAATGGTACCAGAATTCTCCCCTAAACAGTATACAAGAAGGCAGTTATTTTGGCAATGTGAAGAGACTTACTGGTGATGGTGAGCTCCTGCCAAGAACAGAGTATGGTTTAAGATGTTTGCAACCACGGGATAAGGATTTGGTTAATATCAAAGATGATCATCATTTCTTCAAGATCCTTTCTAAGTGTGTGAGACAGAAGGTGCCAAGAGTGTTCATTCTCATTGAAGTTTTGCCATTGCAAGGTGATGAGGACGAAGATTTTGAGGTATTGTAGAGAAGAATGAATCGATGGACAAGCACAAAGAGATATATAGATCTTAGTCATCCTTGGTCAGATGATGAAAACACAAGCTTAAGCATGTGAGGAGGTTGATGCAAATGTGATTAAGTAGGAGTGAAGTAAAATAGGGCAAACTTTGAACACATACACATAATTCACTACTCGAACAGATCCAAGAAGGATTTAGACTTAATAATGACAGAGAAGGTAGATGACATTACAGACTCATTGCTCCAAGGTGGTTGGTTGTGAAACCTTTCAAATTTGGACACTAAATGATGACGCATTTGTGGTAAGGCAACTAAAAGTTCAAGTGTTTTATTAACTTGTTAGCCACCTGTGACAATAGATTTGGTTCCTTTACACAAGCTTTATAGAGCAAAGAGAGATGTTGCAAAGGAGGGGCTACATGGGGGTTTATGTGGATGAGATGGATTGAGTATGAGAGATGGTGAAAAATGTAATGCTTTTGTTTGTTGATTATGTTTTGGTAAAGGAATATATTATGTAACTATTTTTTTGCCAATTTCAAGAAGATTGTAATTCTTTGTGTTTATGATTGTGAAGATGGAATAGAAGCTTTGTGATGGGTATTGATAAAGATGAAGTATGTGTAATCAAACGAGCAGGTTTTAAAAGGCACAGTACTACTTGCAAACTTTTAAATTTTGTCCTATTTACAATGGTGTTTTAGTCTTTTTGTAAATTCCCCAGTCACCCAACATAATTCTACTTCTCTTAGTTTCTGCTACTGAAAATATAATAATAATAAATAAAGGTATAACTTCATCTAACCCTGTTTTAACTATTAAAACATTCATCTCAAATTTAGAATAAATTAAATAGTTTAAACTTTATCACTTAAGATTAACACATATCTTTAAAAATAACATATTACGTATAAGTTATTTGTTTAAACGATAGTTTATATTACTTAACAGAATTTCATTTAATAAGAATTTCAAATTTCATGATTATTCAATTCATTTCAAACTTAAAATGATATTTTAATTATTTTTTCCAAATCCGTCCTATTTAACATGAATTTAACTTGTAAAATTTGCTCAAAGTTTAACTAATTGTAACAATTGACAAACCCATAAGTACAAAATTATTATAAACAATACACGTAATAACTTAAGTTCAATGTCCAAAATTTAAAAATCTATAAACAAATTACAATTTTCAGCTTAGGTATTGTTTTTTATATTAAATTATAGTTATTTTATTATATTTTAATCTACTGTCATAAACAATTATATCAAAACGAGTATTGTGTCATAGACATTATCGTTTATAAACGTGTTAGTGGGTTGAGACATGTTTAATTAATTGTTTCCTAATGGAGTTGGTAGGGTGAGAACCCTCAGCCCAAACACGACAATTAATATAGGCACGAATATGACTGGCTCAACCTTTCTCGTTTAAAAACTGCAAGTATTGGGCTCTGTGCCTCTGTGGGTTGTTAAACATATAATAAAATTGGGCTTAGAAACAATAAATTACAAACAAGTAATATTATACACGGGCCAAAGCTTGGACTCCCTTGGGTCTAGCCCAAGCCCGAAATCAATCCTCGACCCATAGGTTTATTAGTCGATTTTCCGAGTAATTACCTTGCCCCGTAATCTTGGGACGGGCCAAGGTTTGGACTCCCGGGGTCTAGCCCAAGGACCAGTGTAGGTTGTGAAATGAATCAATCCCCGGCCCCCAGATTATTAGCCGAGTTTCCGAGTAATTACCTAGCCCTTAATCTTCGGCGCCCACCCACCCCCCCAAAAAAAAAAAAAAAAAAGTTATTTAACATCCTTAATTTATTACAAAGTATTTTTTAAAAGTAATTAGAAAAGCTTACAATTTTATGTGAATTATAACTTGATATATCTTTTACAAAATTCATACCCTGTTCAACTATCTTTTGGTTTTGAAAATTATTTCCATTGTGCAATAATATGATTAGCATATAAAAATTAGGGTTTTAATATAGAAGTGTTGTTAGAAGTATATGGTAAAGATAAAGAATTTAAGAAAACATGTCATTTTATTGTCTATTTTTTTTTTTTTTTTCAAATTATTGTATTTTTGAAAAAAAAAAATTTTATGGGAAACTATATTACACATAAAATTACATTAATACCCTCAATAAGTTAAAGTTACGCTTTTAAACCGTGAAGAAGTGTCTTCTCATTATTTTATCCAATATAAATGCCTATAACTATAATTTCATGATAAAAGTGTTATCTGATAATAGTCTATTTAACATTTATTATAAAAAAAAAAAAAAAAAAAA